TAGTTTCCTCATCTGCAAAATGAGCTGGAGAAGGAAATGACAAACCATTCTGGTATCTTTGTCAAGAAAACCCCAAACTGAGTGCTGAAGAGTCAGACACAATTAAAACAACTGAACAACAATACCAACAACAAAAGTTACTTGAAGTAAGGAAATCTAGAATAGGGTCCTGGTTCCAATACATAATATCTCTGTGATCCTGAACACATCATTCATCTCTGTGCTTTTCAGTTTCTCCAATTGTAAAAACAGTGAACCATAGAACCTTAGATTTGGAAGACATCTCAGAGAGGTCAGGAAACTTTATTAAAAAAAAGCTTCATATATATATATATATATATATATATATATATATATATATATATATATATATATATATATATATATACATATAATGCAAAAATCCCTTATGAAATGAAACTTGTTAGCTCACATAAGCCTAAAACAGAAATTAATATAGATGCAAAGCTTATGTTCAGCTCTTAAAAATCATAAAACACATAGAATTCAGTGATGTGCATAAATTACAGAATATATCCGTCAAGCAAATATGCTGAGAAAATATTTATAGGAAAAAGATGACCAAAAAAGGAAAGTGAAATAAATTTCCTATTAGCTCATCAAATATGCCCCCTTAACAATAGATGCCTGAAATTCACAGTGTATTAAGTAAAGTATTTGTAGTACAGCCCACATGACCCTCAAACCTGTTTTGCTTTCCCTGAAGCTTAAAAATCCTGATATTGTTGCACAGTGCATGTAAGGAGTTAGGTAGGAAACTAGATTTTCTACTTTTCTGGACTTCTACACATTTCATAAATGGATGGCTCATAGATAATATTTAAAAGCCAGGCTTTGTAAAGAATCAAATCAAGTCAATAGTTATCTGAGTAGCTACTATGTACTAGACACCATACCAGATAATGGAAAATCTATGCTCTGAAGGATATCTGATTTACAGTTATTTAGCAATAGCCTGCTTTGCTGTGGTATTCCAGACCTTCATTCTAATGATGTAAAGTAAGTCTAATGACTTTTATTTTACCCTCAATTTTGGAGAAGCCACATAACAGGCAGTTTATAATTTCTGGTTGGTAGATATTGTATCAACATGCTTTGTATTAAAGCTTATTTTATAGAAAGTATACACACACACACACACACACACACACACACACACATACACATATATATGGAAAGGCAGCATGCATGGAGGATAAAAGCCTACCTATAGATGCAGGTTGAAGACTTATCCCTGACAAACACTAGGTGTCTGACCATGAGTAATTCTCTTAAGCTCCAGGCAACTATCTCTAATTAAATTAATGAAGATTTGCTTATTTACACCGGTGGAAGGAATTTTCCCACTGAGAATCCCTATATCAAAGAAAACACAAGTTCATACTACTCCATCCCTTGCCTAATTCTTAACCAAAAAAAAAAAACAAAGTCAAAACATGCCTAGATAATCTAGAGTCAGATAATTTCTTCCATGTCAATATCATTTCTGAGGTGTAATATGATGAGTACTATGTATAGAGTCACAGAAGTTGGGTTCAAATAACAGCTTTGTTACCTAGTTCCTATATGACCTTGGGCAAGTCACCACATTCTGGACCTCAGGGTCCTCAGGGGATATTTCACATTGTCTTCCATTTTTTCATTCTTTTGGTTTTGTTTTACAATTTGTTAATTTCTCATAAAGTCATTAGCTTCCATTTGCTCCATTCTAATTTTTAAGGAAGTATTTTCTTCAGTGAGCTTTTGGACTTTCTTTTCCATTTGGCCAATTCTGCTTTTTAAGGCATTCTTCTCCTTGTTGGCTTTTTGGACCTCTTTTGCCATGTAGGTTAGTCTATTTTTTAAGGTGTTACTTTCTTCAGTATTTTTTGGGTCTCCTTTAGCAAGCTGTTGACTTGTTTTTCATAATTTTCTTGGAACACTCTCATTTCTCTTCCCAGTTTTTCTTCTATTTCTCTTGTTTCTCAAAAGCCTTTTTGAGGGGCAGCTAGGTGGCGCAGTGGATAGAGTACCAGCCCTAAAGTCAAGAGGACCTGAGTTCAAATCTAGCCTCAGACCAAACACTTGACACTTACTAGCTGTGTGATCCTGGGAAAATCACTTAACCCCAATTGCCTAGAAAAAAAAACTTTTTTGAGCTTTTCCATGGCCTAGGACTTATTCACATTTTTCTTGGAAGCTTTGATGTAGGCACTTTGACTTTGTTGTCTTCTTCTCATTGTATATTTTGATATTCTTTGTTACCAAAGTAAGATTCTGTGGTCTGACTTTTTTGAGCTATTTGCTCATGATCCCAGCTAGTAATTTGACTTTTAAACTCTTTGTTAAGGCAGGGGTCTGCTTCCATTGTGGAGAATTTACTGTTCCAAGCTTTGGGGGTTTTGTGCAGCTGTTTTCAGAGATACTTCTAGGGACCTGTAAATTTTAAGGTCTTCCAAGGTGGTATGATCAAAGGCAAGGTGTTTACTCCTTTTCTGCCCTGTGCTCTCATCTATGAATGAGCACAAGCACTCTTTTCTACCTTGGAACTATGAGGATGATTCCCCTCCACCATCACCACAAGCTCCACCATGCCAGCACTCCTCCTTGCCCCAGGGCTGCCACCCAGAACTGCGAGCCAGATCCAAGCACAGGCAAAACAAGAGAATCCTGCCTCAATACCAGCAAAGAGATCCCTGCAATCCTCCTCTGATCATCAGCTGGGGGCTGCACTGGGCCTGGGGCCTCAACAAAGGTCCTCTTTCACAGCGGTCACAGACCTTTCAAAGTTGTCTTTGTTGTTGCGGGTTGAGAAGTCTGAAAACAGCCACAGCTCCCCTTGATTCAGTCCCCTGAGGCCTGCTCCAGGTTCATTAAGCCCCCACCTTTGTTTGTGCAGCCCATGTTGAACTGTGCTCCTCTGACAGCCCGGCATGATATACCTTTCTGATCAACCATCCAGGTCCTCTTGGGCTGGAAATTTGTTTCATTCTGTGGGTTCTGCTGCTCTAGAATTTGTTTAGAGCCAATTTTACAGGTATTTGGAGGGTTTGGGGACAGCTCAAGCAAGTCACTGCTTTTACTCCCCAATAGGTGTATTTCTATACCTAGTTCTATTATTCCTAAGGCAAAAACTGTTTGCTAAAAACAAAAGGGTTAATTAGGTAGTGGAGATTGTTCTCAAACTGTATACTGTTATGAAAACTGTGTTTTCAAGCTAAGAATTGCTCATGGAGAATGCCAAATTCCAATAGAAATCTTCCAGATGATCCTGTATTTTGCATTCATCAAATACTTTTCCATATGCATTTCTCAATCCATCATCTCTAGATCATAAACTTTCATGTGGCCTCCCACACCACATTCCAATAAAATAAAATCAAGAAAATGAAATATTCATTTTATTTTCTTTAAATCAAATATGGTACATATCATCCCAGAAGTGCCAGCTCCTTTGCCTGGCATTCAAAGCCTTACTTCTTTAGGTTGCAATCTATATTTCCAGACTCATGGAGCACTGATTTAGAATTGGAAAGTGGTCTTAGGGTTCATCTAGACCATTCCCCTCACTTTACAAATGGGGAAACTAAGATTGAAAGATTTCGAGTGACTTTCTCAATGTCACACTAGTAGTAATTGGGAGAAATGGAATTAAAACCCAGGCTTCTCACCCCAAATTGCTTCTCTTTCAACTACATCTGTGAAGAGCCTCAGGACTTAGGTTATTATTTACTGTTTTCCCCCTAAGGCGGTATCTGTAAAATTAGCAAAGACTGATGCCCTGCCTTCCTAAAGTCTTTCAAAACCTGGAGAAGTAGCATGTTACAGAGTATAGGACACTGAACTTAAAGTTAGGAAGACCTGGTTGGAAAATCTACCTCAGATTTGAGCTGGGTGACCTTGGGCAAAATACTTGAGGTCTCTGCACATCACATTCATTCAGTGACAGTGTCATAAAAGGATTCTAACTACATTCAAGTAGAAATGACATTTGACAATTCATTGACTTGTGAACCATAACAATTCTACTTGGTCCTAAAGTGTCTGTAACTATCTCCACTGCTCTGTCCCATCCTACACAATGCAGCCAGTTGAAACATCCTTAAATATGACTCTCATAATGTCATTTTTGTGTTCAAAAAAAAAGAAAAGAAAAGAAAATCAGTGGTTCCTCATTGTTTAGAGAATAAAGTCCTAACACTCTGGCCTAACATTCAAGGCCTCTAAAGCCCCTTCCAACTTCAAATCTATGATACTGTGGAGATCTCTCTACTATCAGCTACAACATATCTTTCCACCAGGGTCCTTCACAAATTCTTATCCTGAACATTGAGCATACCTCACTGCCTCTGCTCACAACATCATTCCCTCTTCTCTTTCCCACTCTAAATTCTAGATATTCTTTTAGGGCCACATCAAGCCTCACCTTTCCCTCAATCTAATGTGATGCCACTCCTCCTCAGAACTTCTATAGTAATCACTATCTGGTACCAATTCCATAATGTTTTAATCTATGTTTAGTTCTTTTTTCTGTGTATGATTTAACTTCCTGAGTTAGGTTTTAAACTCCTTAAAGGCAGAAGGCTTATATAGTCTAGCTGGGGAACGCAAGTATGAGTACCTCTATCTCTACATGAGGTATATTTATGTGTGTTTGTGTAAGCAGAAATGCAGTTATACAAACATCACAATACACTGCATGTGAAACATGTCTGTTGTTTGTGTGTGTATATACATACATATGTATGTATATATATGTATATACACACACGTGCGTGTGCATGATTTTCCGAACACAATCATTATTTTATAGCAGGTGCTTAATAAATCTGGTGATGAATCCTCTGCCCCCTCTTCCTTTCCTGTCTTCAATGAAGGGAAATCAGATGAGTTAGTGGGAGTGGGCCCAAATCTTGTTTCTCATGGTTTCAGCACAATTACACTTTTTGAAAATTGCATAATCTTAACGGAAGTCAAGGTTTATAAATATATATAGGTACCTGTTCGAATATCATGATTAACACCTTCCACAGAAATGATAGCATTTGGAATTCCTTTCCCATGTGAATCTCGTACTATGCCTTTGATGCCACGATGAACCTTTTAAATAAAAAAAGTATGAATATCAGTTATAGTCATATGGCTTAACACCAAATAATAAATTAATTTATGAAATATAAAAGGGAAAATATTCTGTGGTATTTTAGAGATAATTAAGGACTAATGACTGCTAAGAATTTTAACATGGTCACACAGTTCAAAAGACTCATTCCTTATTCTTAGTATATCCCTGAATTGTTGGTTTCAGAAAATACTATTCCATGTCTTTTAAGGTCATGTAGCAGAGTTTGCTTAGACTGTATTTAAAGCAAAATATTCACTCTGTAAGGTACTAACAATGAATAGCCACACATTTACAAAGGACCCATAAGTTTATATTAGGAGTAACATATTTAGAAACTGGAAAATGAATAAGATGTTTATGTGAATCAGTTTTGTTAAATCTTCCTTCCTTCCTTCCCTAAGTCTTCACAGATTTAATGGCAAGGAGTCAATGAAACCTTATAAACTGAAAGTTTGGTTTTCTTTGAGAATCCCTGGGCAAAGGACTTTACCTTTCTTGGCCCCCATTTCCCCATCAACAAAATGAGTGGCATTCCAGAGAAGTGTGGAAAGATGGAAATGAACTGACACAGAGTGAAGCAAGCGGAGCCCCAGCAAAAAGATGTTGTTGTTGAGTTGTCTGAGTCCTGTCTGACTCTCCATGACCCCATTTGGGGTTTTCTTGGCAAAGATACTGGAGTGGTTTGCCATTTCCTTCTCCAGCTCATTTTACTGATGGGGAAACTGAGGCAAACAGGGTCACACAGCTAGTAAGTGTTTGAGGTCGGATTAGACCTCATGGAGAATCAGGAGTCTTCCTGATTCCAAGCCTAAGTCCTCCTAAACACTCCACACATCCCATGCTATAAAGTACTCTAGAGATCACAGAATTTAGAGACAATAGGAACCTTGTAAATAATTTAGTTCAACCTTCATTTTGTCAAGGGGGAAACTGAGGCTCAGAGATTACATGACTTCCCCACGGTTACAGAATTATTAAAAGCAATTCTAGGACTCAAATCCATGTCCTTTGACTCAAGAATTAGTGCTTTTTTTTTTTAAATACTGGTCTCCCTTTCTCACCCAGACTGAGATTGTTGCAGCCTTTTACTGGCCTAAGCCCACTGCTGATTTGCACGGAAGTTTTAAACTTCCAACCTGGGTTGGTTCCACCCTCTTTAGGTAGCCTGGTGGCTCTTGGTTGCCAGAGGTTCAACATATTGGTGCACTTCTTAATGTGGTCACCTGATTGGCTTTAGCCCTAGCATACCTCAGAACTCCTGAGCTCAGGTGATTCACCAGTGTTAGCCTCCCCAGGGGCAAGGATTACAGGCTGCACTTCCACATCTGACTGCTCTCTTCTATCACATACCCCTCTCCTCCACCCAATAATCTTTGTTTATATCTGTACAGCAGTAGAAAACCAAAGATAGGGCACTGGTTAAATGCTTTTGAAATGGCAAATTACATAAGTTTAGTGAATCATATAGCAATGTATTTATTTCATGACAAAACCAAGCAATTAAAATAGATGATTGGATCATCAGAGACAGTGACCTCAATCAGTTTCGTGTATATGGTTAAGCTTAATAAAAGGAGCAGATATTATGTAAAGTTTTAGAGTATGTTTGCAAAGATGGCTATTTGACTTTTAAACTCATATTCCTCTGTGAAAATCTATTGCATTATCTACACTTGAAAAATTTTTTTATGACAGGATGCCCATAGTATTTCATCTGTTACAAAAGAAACTGCTTTGCTATTTTATTTACTTAAAATATTTTTTGGTTAAATTATGGGCCTTATTTTCAGAAAAGTAAAGGTTCCTTCTGTCAATACTAGCTAGCTTTTTTTCTATTCTTTTTAAATAAATGCTTGCAATTAAAAATAGGCCGAAGAAAATCTAGGAAAGCATTTCCCAACACAAAAGGATTCCAGGGCAGGAGAAAGAATCGACTATAACACTAAGCAAAGTAATAGAGAAAAGGCATGAACTCTGCCAAGGAGAACTCAGCTATTTTGCAAAGGAGATAGCAAGGCTTTGGGGGGAAGTTGCAGTGTATACATTGATATTATCTAACATTACAGCATATAGAACTTCAAAGTTTGCAAAGCACTTTACATATCTGTTACCTCATTTGAACTTCAAAACAACCCTGGGATGTAGGTGCCATTATTATTCCCACTTAATAGATGATGAAACTGAAGCTAAGAGGGAAGGGAGGGGAATCAGTATTTATACAGCGTCTACTAGGTGCCAGGCCCTATGCTAAGTGCTTTTTGCAAATATGACCTCATTTGATCCTCACAGTAATCCTGAGAGGGAGGAGCTGCTTTTATCCCCTTTTTACAGTTGAAGAAACTGAGGCAGACAGGTGAAATGACTCATCCAGGGTCACACAGCTGGTAAATGTCTTGGGCTAGATTTGAACTCACCTTTTCCTGATTCCAGGCCCAGTGCTGGATTCCACTGGGCCACTGATAGGCTAAATGACTTGTCACACGGCTGTGGGCTGTGCCTGAGGCAGGATTCAAACTCAGTCCTTCCTGACTCTAAGTTTAGAGCTCTATCTACTGTGTAGCTAGCTGCCTCTACTAGAAAAAGTACCAAACTTGGACTCAAGAGACTGTATTTTAAGCTCAATTCTACCCCTTATGAGTTGTATGAGCCTAAATAAGTCACTTCTCCTTTCTAGGACCCAGTTTCCACAATATGTAAAATGAGAGGACTGGTCTGGATGATTTCTGAGGGCCTTATAGCATCTTGGACATTCTACAATTTTGTTTTAAAGGCTTTCCATGGGAATCATATCTTGAATTGGGTCTCCTCTGATTTAAAAAAAAAAAGAGAGAGATTTTAACTAAACCAGTTTGCTGCTGGAGGAACAGTTAGAGGCCTGGGAAAGCTAACAATAACTTAAACAGATCACTGAATGCCTTACTCAACCAGATAAAAAACCCATTTTACAGATATGGGAAATAAGGGTCAGAACATGAAGTAATTTGCTCATAGTCCTGCAGTCAGTAAGTAGTAACACTGGAAAATGAATGTAAGTTTTCTTGACTTAATCCCATGCTCCTTCCATTAGAGCACAATTGTTATTACTATTGCAGCAGACATTAGTCTGACAACACAATGTTTGTTAACAGAGGGACAGGATCTAGGGAAGAGACATTTGAGTTTGAACAGGTGGGTCCTTGTTTTACCAATAAAGCAATAACAAAGATTTCTTGTGGGTAAGACTTTCAAACTCTGCAACTGATTGTAACAAAGCTAGCCAGCCTCCTTTCAAACCAATCAAATTATGGTCAAATGGTTTAGGATATGTTCATGCTTAAGCCTTTTCCTTCACTATCTTTATTACACATAGTTTTATTTTTCTTCTCTAGGACCTCTTTTCATGTCTAAATTAGGGATATCAAACACACAGTCTACATGGCCCACAGTGTTCCCAGGTACAGCCAAACTAGATTAAAATGCAATGGAGAAATATTAAACAAAATAAATAAAAACACAATCGCATGTAGATAAGGCAATATGTGGTTTTCTAAGTCAATATACGACCTACGGGGATTCTTAGGTACAGTTCAGTGGAATCCATTTCTGTTTGAGTTTGGCATCACTGGTCTAAGGCACCAGATGTTTAATGATGCAATCCTGGTATAAACTTGAACCTTTAGTTGCCTTTCAACTACTCAGGAGGTAAAATTACCTTCACTCAAAGAACACTTCTAAATGTTGAACCTAAAAACTACTTAAAAAAATTCTTACCTGTTCCATAAATACTATCAAAGATTCACGATTATTCTCCCATTCTTCAGGCAGGTCACTCTCATGAGGATATTTGTCACAGCCCACATATATTGACAGCTCAAAACAGTTTGTATGAAGGTAACTGAAGTCATTCAGACCTGCCAATATAATCAAAGATGATTTTAACTAAAAAATTATCCAAACTGGCATTAATAAGGAAATAATACTTTTCCATAGCTTGATTCCCAACATTATCATTATTAAAATTGCAGAGCATGTACGCATAAACTCTTATTAGGTAGTACATGAGCAAACAGAAATCTCTACATGTTATAACAAAGTTTCTCAATAGGGTGTCCATCAATTTAAAAAAATAGTTTGATAACTATTCTTACTGTTTTGTTCAGTTGTTTCAGTTGTGTCTAACTCTTCATGACCCCATCTGGGGTTTTCTTGGCAAAGATGCTGGAGTGGTTTGTCATTTCCTTCTCCAGCTCATTTTACAGATGAGGAGACTGAGGCAAACAGGGTTAGGTGATTTGCCCAGGGTCACACAGCTATTGTCTGAGGCCAGATTTGAACTCACAATGACAAGTCTTCTTGACTTCAAGTCTGGTTCTATCCACTGTGTCACAGAGCTGCCTCTTTGATAACTATTTTTTAATGTAATTAGTTACCTTCATAATCCAATGTATTTTATTTTACACATTTTAAAATGTTCTTATGATAAAAGTCTATAAGCTTTACCAGACTGCCAAAGAGGTCCAGGGGTCCTCTTTGTAGAATACTACAAAGGTTAAGAACTTCTTTTTTCGAGTCTACCAACAAGATAGCAGATGGAGAAGGACAGTGGCCAAGTGCAAATGTTAAAGAAAAGAATCAGAGACTTCAGGAAGTGAGGTCATTGCTGTACAGAACCAAGAAAAGGTGGGAAGGGCTAAAGACAGGACAAAGCACGGTGATAGGAAAAAACCAGAAAGTATACAAGGAGTGGCTATATTAGCAGTGAAAAAAAAGAATGGAAAAGCAAAGAGTGGAAACTAAGTGAAAATGAGAAACAGCATGAGTTTGCAGTATATAGAAAGTGTACTTGGCTGGAGAGTAAGTCTGTGTGGCATCTATGAGCACTTTCTAGACTTTGAGTGAATCTGATTCTCAACCATTTGAGATGTCAGAGGGACCTCATTGTAGTAGCAAAGAGAAACTGTTGTTATCAAGGAGTTACAGGAATCATGAACAACTGGGAGGCCAAATTAAGAACCAATTATACAATGCAAATGAAGGAGGGTGTGTATAGTACATACATATGCAAGCCCATATGCAGAACTCAGCCCATTTGCCCACATCCAGAGAAAATATCAAAGGAGATTTAAAGACAAACTGCATTTTTTAAAAAAGCTGTTCTACTGATATCAAGAAAAGTATGTTAAAAATAAGCTAATAAAACAACAATACTGCATTTTGACTCAAATATTTATTTAATTTCTCTTTTTCAACTTAACCTTTACTCAATAAAATTGTTTTTCAAATGGATTCCTTTTTTTAGCTCACTATTTTTTTTTGCCACGAAATAATTGTTTGTGGTTTTTAAATTAATTTGATTCATTTTTTTAACATCCTGAATCATGCTTTTCTTTGGACTTGTTCAAGCTTCAGCTGTCACAGCAAATGAGCTAGTTTTTACATATGGACTTAAAGGAATATTCTCATATCAAATAAATGTTACCAAATATAAGTAGGTAAAAAGTCACAGTGGACACTGAATTGAGAATATAATCTGTACTACACATCCTCGTTCTTTTCTTTCAAAAGCTCTTTTGAGGAATAAGAGCATTTACAATCACACATTTGAACTATGCTTTGTCAAGACGCCAAACAGTAGTGATCAAGAAGAGGCCTCCCTCAATAAACCATCAGATGTTTCTGGATTCAGAGTCACTTGGGGCCTCACAGAACACAGATGTTCAATGCTATGTTACGTGTGTTACCGGGGGAAAAGCTGAAGCCCATGGCATATGTTGCTTCACATTAGCATTTTCCCTTCCCCTGGGATCAGGCTCAAATACTTTTTCCTCATACTGTTCTTCATACTGGCTCAATTACCACCAAATTATTAATATTGTGCTCTATCTGAACATGTCTTCTTAAGATCGCTGCTTTCTGCAACCAAGAACAACACTGTGAGGATGTTAACTGGCCAAGTATTTCAAAGCAGAAGATGATTCAATATGGCATTCTCTCTCTACCAGGCTTATATATTTGTCATGTGGAAATGGCAATGACACACCTTAACTCCCATTTGTCTTTTAGTGATAGAGGGGACCTAGAAAATTGGATGGAGGTTAGGTTGGTGCAACAGCAGTGATTCAAGGTCAAAATCATGCATAGATAATTTAGGAGAGGTACTTGATTATATGGACAAAGACTGGGTCTACCAGCTGGTATTGATCAGAAGGCTCTAACCCCTCACCTCCACCTTTCAGTTTTCCTAGTCCACCTATAGAAGGAGACCTTTCCCAGTTCCCTTCAGTTGCTATTATCTTCCCTTTTCAGAGTGACTGTCTCAGTCTCTCATTCTCTGTGTCTCTCTGTCTTTCCATCATCCTCATTCTCTCTCTCTCTCTTAAATGTATCTAGTTATCTACACATCATCTCCCCCATTAGAATGTATGCTTTTTGAGGGCAAATTTTTTTGCTTTTCTCCATATCTCTGGCACTTAGCACCAGGTCTGCTACATAGTAAGTGCTTAATAAATTGTTGTTGATCAACAGTCAAACAGTCAGTCAGGCCTCATATTTGGGACCAAAGCAACAAAATAGCCAGTTGACTGACTAATACATTTCTCAGCTGTCAGTCACAGTACTAATAATGAATGTGAGATGGCTTACATTTTATTGGGCTTTACAGTTATAAAACACTTATGAACACATATGTATGTATCCTACTATTTCTGTCTTCAGGACATTACTAACAAATGGGTAGAGCAAACATTAGCATCTCCCTTTTGTGATGAGAAACTGAGACTCAGAGATTTTTAAAGGACTTGTTTACAGTCCCATGCCTAGTAGGTGGCAAGCCTAGCATTAAAACTCAGGTATTTTGTTCCAAATACAGCTCTCTGTTTAGAATAAGCTGATTGCTATACTCGACATACCAGTAAAATGAGATGGCCATTGTTACCCTACTTTACAGGGTCCTTGTGAGTAGCTGTGATGTAATTTGCAAATGCTCTGGAAATGCTAAATTTGGGCAACGAGCACTCCATATATAATGAGGGTCCTTCATCACCACCTGCACTGCTAAGACCAAATGATCAAGAATTAGATTGGATCACAAGAGAATGTGATCATTTTATCTCAGTCACTGGTTTCTGCAATGAGTCATTTTGTGCCCTTGCAAGATAGCTGCTTCCAGAAGTAAAAGAATATTTTCTACATGAGCTGGAGTGGAAACAGAGATGGGTTTTGACCCAGATAGTTCCTCATAATCCTCGGGTATTGGCTAAGTGTGGCGAAACATTCTTTTGTCCTCTGCATTTCACTGAAATCCTTCTCTTGTCCCCAAGTTCAATATGAAACACAGAATCCAGCATTTCTTAAGGCTCTGTGGCTCCGATGGTATCATGACACAGGACTTCATTGCCCAGAGATAACAGGGGACAATGGACTGATGGTATTCACACGTAGACAGGGTCAATGCAAGTATCTCCTGTGTAATGTATATTTAGAAGCATACTGAGCCCTGAAGTAAACTTTACTTTTATTAATTTACAGTTTACCTATCATTCATTAACTAATGCCTGTCAGCTCATTGCTCAGAAATATGAAAGTAGAAGTGAAGGGGGTGAGGGAAGGGAGAGTGGGAGGGGAAGGGGAAGGGCAAGAAATTAGAAATACCATTTCATTAATCTCCAGTGAAATGATTCTGCAGACCTCATTATACCACCAGGAAGAAGAGTGATTAAAAGGACTTGAGCCCTCCTCTGTTCCTTTGCTACCCCCACTCCTCAACTTGGAAAGGAAGTCAATGAAATAAATGAAAAGTAGAATTGGTTAAAAGCTGGCTAGACTGGTCATGCAGTAGCCGCTGTTTAAAAATGTTATTATTGACTCTGCATTGACTAATCTGGCTGTGCTGCTGCCTGCTACCTGCTGCAGAAGGGTCATGGCACTTAAATATACTGAAAGTTAAAGATTAGGTCTGGTCTTTCAGCCCAAGCTTTTAAACTAGTGATAGGTGATTGGTTTCTTGTTTTTAGCCATAATGCAATTTTAGTGACAGAAACGGTTTAACCCTTGGTTCTTTTCCAGTTTTTTCTTTTAATGCATCTTATGAGCTCTTTTTGTCCTTCTCATATAGTGATTTATTCAAAAACATCCAAAATAGTCAAACAGTGGCTATATCTGACAATGTTTGCAACATTTTGCCATGGTATTCTCCCACTTTTTTGCTATGAGGAGGGTGGTATTTTCTTTATCTGTTCTCCCCATCCATCAGTGTTAAAATTTATTTCTTTGGATCTATTTGGAATGACAGGATGAAGTGGAATAAAATGCCAGGGCTTGGCAAAGGCAGCTATGATTCAGTGGGAAATGTCCTGGACCTGGAGTCAAAAGCCACAGCATCTAAAAGGAACCCTCCTGATCACTAGCTGTGTAACCTTGGCCAAACCATCATACCTCTAAGCCTCAGTTTTCTCAGCTGTAAAATGGGAAAATATCTGCTTCACAAGGCTACTATGAAAGAAGGAGCAAATCAAATGAGAAAACCCCATCTAATAATATATAATATACAACAATATTAATTATTAATAATTAATAATACTATTAGTATATCATATAAATACGATATAATGATATAATCCCAGCTCACATTTCTACTGCACCTTCAGGTTTGCAAAGCGTTTTCTTTCAAAATCTAATAAGGTTGGTATGTATATTACTTAATGTAGCAGTGAAAGCCCTCTATACACTATGAATCCCAGATAAGGGATAATTATTATCATCAATAACCAACAATTTTTTTATTCGGGCAGGAAATGGTACTGACAAATGTTGTTTTTCTTTTCCTGACAGCAGCAGTAAACTCTATGGTGATATCAAAGCTGAAATTTGGAAATAGTACTGCAACTGGAAGAATACTCTGGTTTCTGAGCACCACCTCCCTGGTGAGTAATAACAGCAATTGCTTGTATCGACAGGATGTCCCCAAAGTCTTGGTGCAGTTTTAAGCTTTGATAGTTTAAAGACCCAGACTTTGAGGATACCCTGTATATAGCTTTAGGTTTCAAAAATACTATACAAACCCCTCATTTGATTCTAACAATAACCCTTGCTATTATTATCTCCATTTTACAGTTGAAGGGACTAAAGTTCAGAGAGAGTGACATGCTTACAGATGCATAGCATTGTTTAAGGCAAGATTCAAACCTAAGATTCCCTGATTCCAAGGCTGTCTCTCCAGTCACCTTTCCATACTACACCTCAATAAGGAAGGATAGCAACCGAACAAATACACTGCTGTTACTGTGCTTTTTTGCAATTCTCACTTGTCTAATTCATCAAAAACTTGGTCATTAATAAAAAGAAAATAATTTACATTTGTAATGCACTCTACAGTAGCAAAAACTTTCATACTGGCTCATTTGATCCTCAAAGGAGACCAAAGTCCAGTCCATCAATAAGTCAGTCAATAAGTGTTTCTTGAGTCTGCTATGTGCCAAACACTGTGCTAAGCTTCCTTCCAAGGAAGATAGTTTTAAGTTTTACTATTTACATTTTATAGTTGAGAAAATTGAGTTAGTGAATTGATTTGGTTAAGGTCACACAGCCAGCAAGAGGCAGAGATATGACTTGAACCCAGACAGTCTTTTGACTTCAAGTCTTGACTTGATTTGACTTCAAGTTTTTGCATAGTCTGAATCAAAGTAGTCACATAAATAGTTGCCAATCAATGACATAAAGAAAGTAGAGCTGGCCCATGCAAAGGCCCTTAGAGCCATAGAACATGTCTTGATTTGACCTTCTTTGCTCAGGGTTGCTGATGGAATCTATGGTGGCAAATGCCAGCAAACTATTTGTCTCAGGCAATTGTATGATTTTTTGATTTTAGAAATGAGAAAACATTAGGAAGAGATTTAGGAGAGAAAAGGGTAGCTATTCAGCCTGAATAGGAATGGAAGTGCTTTGAGGGCAAGAGCTATTACTTCATTTTTGTCTTTGCATGGCCAGTGTCTAGCCCAGTGCTTGGTGTAACAAATGCTTGCCTCTTGGCTGACTGACAGGGCTAATTCAAAGTTTGAGAACTATAAAGAATTTAGATATTCTAAAAATACTACATGAATGTGGAAGCCCTTTATAATGTAAATGTTAGGACATAAATCTAACCCCCATCTCGTAGGTTCATTTGGTCTTATCATTTGGTTTTTAAATGCATCCAGTTATAATGTTTCAGGGAACTATGGTATAACTCAGTTGAGGGAACCAATTCTGACTTTCTAAATCTGAACCGACTTAGATTTTTCACAAGAAGGAAGCAGCATGGTGTGGTGGAAACCCAGGTGACACTAGACAAGTCAATTAAGCTCCTTAAGATTCTTGTTTACAGAGAAGGTGCATTGGTAGAGGGAATCCCCTGCTTTAATGATATCACAAGGCCAATCCTACTCCTTAACCCTATGTAGAAAAGATGGAAACAAGGGAAGTTAAGAGAAAAGAGCCGCAAAAACATGGCACAGGAACAATGTTAAAGACTCTGATACACAAAGTGAGTTAAATAAAACAGTGTTTTTAAAAAGCTGTATCAGGAAAAAGAGGAATTCCTAAATCTATGCTCCTAAGACTTGAGATCATGTATATGTGTGTGTGTGTATGCACACATATGTATATATGTGTATGTATGTGTGTGTGTATATATATACATATATATATATATATATACATGTATACACACACACACACACACACACACACACACACATATACATATGGCCACTTCCTGGGATAGATGGTAGAATAACTATGGATAACAGAGGGAAGTCACTTAAATCTTACTTCATTTCTGTCTTTCCTATTAAGGAAAACAATCTTTGAAGAAGAAGGGACTGAACAAAAATGACTAAAAGCAATTTGATACCCAAGATAAGTAGGAAAATAGTAAGAGAGGACCTAGCTACTTTGGTGAGTGCAAATCATCAGGCCCAGCTCAACTCATCATACTACAATTTGGGGATGCTTCTACCAGGCCCTTACTTCCAGCAACAGTATGCCAAGAAGCTCCATTCACAGTTCCATCCTCCTTCTGAAAATCTTCAGTGTGGCACACCCTTCTCCGGGCATCTGTCATGAGCCGGTGGGTTGATGCATAGGAATAGGCGAGCCATCGAAATACGTGATCATCAGGGGTAGGTGTCTGCTCCTGGGTCTTCCATAATGATCGGACCATGTCATATGGGTACGCCACCACCAGTTCTCCTCCTTGTAAATTACCTCCCAGCACAAATGGGATTTTTTCCATCCAAGCTATTATTGCCCTTGTCTCAACAGCCACCTAAATATAAAAAAAAAAGACAGTTGATGCCATCACAGCTATCTGTACTATGAAGCCAGTTTAATGTGAACCACAGGATCACAGATTTAGAACTGGTTGGGATCTGAGAGGTCACTGAGTAAAGTCCCTTCATCCTAGAGATGAGCAAAAGGAGGGAGAAAGAAATGAAGTAACTTGTCCAGGTTACCTGACTAGTACATGTATGAAGTGAGATTTGAACCTTTCTGAGTCCAAATCCAGAGCCCTCTCTATTATGACATACTGTCCTTGGTTCAGTGATTGACACAAAATTTGGATGCAGTAAACATTTATTCCCTTTCTCTTTTGATTGGTTTAATTTATCCAATTCAAGAGAAGAGAACATAAAGACCATACTATCAAACACAAAGATCATTTAAGGACCATTTAAAGAAGGATTCATGAGTTCATATAGTCCTCCCATTCCTTCCTCTTTAACACACAGCCCGCAATTGTTTTGTTCCAGACTGTCTCTTGTTTCTTCAACCACTCATGTTATATAGCTATGTGGTACAGTAGATAGAGTCAGATAGAGTCTCTAGAGTCAGGAATACCTGAGTTCAAATCTAGCCTTACAAGCTATGTGACCATAAGCAAGTCACTTTACCTCTGGAAATTGCCCCAGTTTCCTCAACTACAAAATGGGGATATTAATAGCACCTACCTCCCAAGGTTGTCTTGGCATTTTTCCTGATACATAGGTTCTTAATAAATGCTTGATCCCTTCCTCTTCCCTTCCTCACTTCCCCGTGTTTTCTTCTGCTCCTTAAAATCTTAATTTACCGAGAAAACCAAAACCGTCCACTGAGAGTTTCCTCTCTCTCTATTCCACACTGCTCCATATTCTTTCCTCCTTGGCTATAGCCTTTGAAGAAGAGGTAGCACTTTTCCAGAACAAGGCCAACGCTTCTACTTGTGCCCTTGATTCCATGTCCCTTTCCTCCAGAAGAGACTTACCTTCTTGTCAGGAGGACCAGGACAGAGCTTTAGGGGATATCTACACTGAAGGACTAGGAGATGAATGATGAGTCAACAGAGGAGACTTAGAGAGAGCCATCTCTAGGTAAGAGAAGAACCAGGAAAAAGCAGTGTCAAGAAAGCAGAGGGGGTATCCCATGAAGAATAATGTGTCACAATGCCTCCTTCATTCACCCTCCCTCCTTCTCTTTCCCTCTCCTTCCTCTTTCCCTCTTATTGCATCTCTGTCTCTCTGTGTCTCTATCTCTCTCTCTCTTCCCTATCCCATTTTCTCCTTATCTATTATTTCCTTCCCTTATATCTGTCCCCCAGTCTTTAAATTTTTTTAAACTCAACCATCTCCTTGAATTTTAAATCTCTCCTTATGTTCAAAGTCAAATTCCTAGAAAATGCTATTCACGCCTCCATTCTCTTATGTCCCAACACCTTGCAGATCTAGCTTTTGATTGTAGCAGTTCACTGAAAATGTTTTCTTCAAGGTTACTTACTAATGCTAACTCTTATGGCATTTTTCTCAGGTCTCATTTTATTTGGCCTCCCACTGCTGATCTGGTATTGTGACACATTATTCTTCATGGGATACCCCCTCTGCTTTCTTGACACTGCTTTTTCCTGGTTCTTCTCTTACCTAGAGATGGCTCTCTCTAAGTCTCCTCTGTTGGCTCATCATTCATCTCCTAGTCCTTCAGTATAGATATCCCCTAAAGCTCTGTCCTGGTCCTCCTGTTCATTTCCCTTTAATGGTAATTTCATTGGTCTCCGTGGATTCAATTATTAGCTTTACGCAGAGGGCTCCCAAATGCAGAGATCTAGCCTTGACCTCTATCCTGAATATTTGTCTTATATCACCACATGCCTACTGGCCATCTTTACTTGGATGTTCCATCAACATCGTAAACTCAGTATTTATGAAACGTAAATAATTATCCTTTCCCCAAATTCCACCCATTTCTCCAAGCTCCCCCATTTCTGTTGAAGACGCCAGGATTTTTTTAGTCACCCAGGTTTGTAACCTTGGACTCATTCCTGACTCTTCTTTCCATTTGCCTTCCATATCTAATAAGTTTCTAAATCCTGTCTTTCCACCTCCCAAACATGTGTTTGTATCCTTTTCTTCATATACTTGACCACCACCTTAGTTCATTTCTTTGTCACCTTTTACCCAGATGACTGCTATAGCTTCCTAACTGGTATCCCTGCTTACAGCATTTTCCCTTTTCAACTTATATCCCGCGGAGCTGTTAAATCACTCTTCCAAATGTGCAGGCCCAACCATGTTATCTCCTCTCCTCAAGAATCTTCATTGGCTCGTTATTAACTCTAGAAAAAATGGAAACTCCACTTGGTATTGAAGCCCATCTCAGTCTGGGTCCAGTCTACCTTTCCAGACTCCTGTACAGTACCCCTTTTTATGAACTCTATGTTTCAGCCAAATGGGCCTATTTGCTGTTTCCTGAACTTGGCATCCCATCTCTCATTTCTGTGTTTTGTTAAAAGCTATCCTCCATGCCTTCATTCATCCTTCATATCTAACTCTCAGAATATTTAGCTTCCTTCACTTTGGGGCCACCTTGTAAGGTAAGCCTTTCCTGACCCCACCAGCACTTAGTACTCTCTCCCTCCACAAGCTATGTTGTTCTCTCACTGCACACACACATGCACAGAAGGTATATGTGCACATGTATGTGTGTATACATATATATTCACATGTTTACACATACATCCATGTGTACACACACACACAGACATTCACACATATATGTGTACCTGTGTATGTGTATGTGTATGTGTGTGTTGTATTCCCCTCTAGTAACATGCAATCGTCTTGAGGGGCAAGATTGCTGCTGCTTTTTTTTTTTGTCTTTCTGTCTGCAACACTTCGCAACATCATTTGACAAGTATGTCAAATTGAGCTGAAAACTCCCATCTAATCACTCTATTTTACCTTTTATTTAATTGTCTGTCTGTCCCTGATTATGCTTAACCCATTTATGCTAGGGGAATATACCTAGGTTTTGCTAGTCAGGAAACTGGGTATGAATCCCATATCAGATGAAGAAATTAAGATTCCTTCTATCTCTAAATCTACCCTACTTCCCTTTGTTATCACAATGTTTTATCTTATCTTCTCAACAACTCTAGATTCTTCCCATTCTTCACTTGGTTAGATAGCATATACCGTCCTTGTGGTGTTTTAAAAGGGTAGATTAGACCTTACCCACCAAAGGAACCAAAATGATGTCTCAGTCACTCACTACCAAAGACATCGGGTAAACAGACTCTTACTCAGTTTTCAGTCAAATACAGGGTTCCTGACAATAGTGTAAACCAAATTAAAATGCAATTGGGAAATATTTAACAAAATAAATAAAAGTACAATAGGACAAAGATAATGTTAACATAAGGTTTTCTAAGTCAGATGCCACCCAAAGGAATCCTTAAGTATGTTGGTCTTTTTCTGTTTGAGTTTAAAAGGACATATTTAAAGCATCTTGGAGAGAAGAGAGCTCATAAAACTAAGATGAATTCACTTTTTTTGGTGTATGGGAAGCCAGTAGACTCTGATAAATACTTAGAGATTACTGAACTCTAGTAATCGAAGGAAGAAAAGCCCAGCATGTCATTAATTCATTTCATTTTTTACCCTTTAATGACTCTTGTAAGCTCTCCCCCAAATCCTGTAATTATCCTTCATTGGCTTCAAATTTATTCTCTTGCTTTCCATTGTTGTGATATGGAAATGCCTCATGTTTTAAGATCTATCTAGAGAGTTATGAACTTTTTACACCAAGTCATTAAGACAGTAATAAGTGTGGTAATAAAAAGTGACACATTCCAATTTGAGGATTTGTATTTCTTGTTATGAACTGCCACACAATTGTGAGGTGATATATTTAAACTGTCTCTCTTTTAAAATCCAAATCAAGATGTAGAAATACTGATTAAAAAAATAAACCCTTAAGATGACATTGTACCATTCATTACTATATAGACATGTCCAAATCAAGAGACCAACTATATATTTCATCACCATTCCCTCAAAATTTAAAGCAAAAAACCCACCCACCCATGTAATGCAGGTATTTTTTTTGTCCCCTCTTATGTAGGTTCCCAGTACTGGGGAATTAGCTCTGTAAATTACATTAATGTCATTCAGCTAGAATTCCTTTCACTGTTAACAATATAACAGCTTACCAAGAAGTAAAGAATTGTCAAAGTAATAGCTAAATAGAAAAAAAAATGTTTCTCCTTTACTATGGTGACTGATAGAAATACCATTAAGACAATTAGCTTTATCAGAGAAATGTGAGTGTATTAGAAATAAATTTTCATGTCAAAAACTCAAAGAACTTGCTAAGGAATAAGATATTAATAATGTTGTCCCATTATACAGTTCAACCATTTAATCAGTAACTGTGCTAAGTACTATGTTTTGCTATGCAAAGAAACCTAAAATTTGGTCCTCCCTCTTCAGAAGCTTATAATTTGTGTAGTAGAGATTGAAGAGAGTGGACATATACAGCTACAAAAAAAGTCACAGTACTAGGTAAAAATCGCCATTTCCAAATGAATAGTTCAAATCAAGACTATGAGAGTTCAAAGAAGAGAATGATTAGGGCAAGTCATGGTGGTAAGGAGTTCCAGAAAGGACTTGACCTGAGTTTTTAGGATGGGGAAGATTCAGATAGGCAGCAGTGGGAAAGCAATAAGAATTCAGACAATGGAAACAGCATATGAATGGAATTTCACATATTTGGTGAGAATAATATGTTTTATTAATTATTCTGTGCTAAATAAGTCCTATGAAAACATTAATGATCTAATTCTATATTTGTTTTCTTACAATGGACTACAGGCCATAAACCTGTGGGACTAATTAAAGTGAAGGCAAGTCATTTCCAGCTATTAAGGAAATGGACCCCAAAATCTTTGATTCTAGCTGTATCAGTGACAATAATGATGGCAACAATAGTAGTTGAAAAAAATAACTTTCAAACCTGAGGATTGAGATTTCTAGTTATGGTATACAATATAATATAATTATATAATTAATATAATTGAATTAAAATTAAATACAACAAATATAATTAAACTCTCTTCTCATGTAACACTATGCCAAGAAGTTGTTTGTAAATGTATCTTTCATGCAGAGTCACATTTATCCTTGGAAAACAACCTGGAAAAAGGTTTATTCTTTAGTATTTTAAATGATTTTTCATTTCACTTGTGCTCTCTCTACCTACAAATCCATGTTGATTTGGGTTGTCTGTCATTGTGCAGCTTATAAGTTCTTTTGACTCACCGTTGCATTTTCAGATAGAAACCATTCAGGTATTGGAATGTGATGATTGGGGACCTTTCTTGGGAAATTCCGACGGTCCTCAGCTTCCCAAAGCATAGTATTTAAATCTGGAAAATTGTTGTTGATATCAATACCATCATGGGTCCAACGTCCCAGAGACCATCCTCCCAATTCAGAGCCCTGGGAGACAATTTCAGAATATGAACTCATATTTTGTAGGACAAGGTTTCCATTGTGGTAAGATCATACTTATCATGATTTCTGCTGCACCTCTACATTTCCCCATGATGGTGTCCTCTACTGCGGAATACTGGGAGAAAATAAATGAAACAATCCTTTATGGATCTACAGCAGGTAATCATAATCAAATGATTCCATATGGTCACAATCCTAGCAAATTGCTGGTTGTCTTTCAGAGACTGACTTTTTAACAAGAGCTAGGCCTTAATGAGGAAATTGAGGAGAAAAGACTAGATCCCATTTTAATAATTGGTTATTGATATAATAGTAAAATAACAATTTCTCTCACTGACTTCAAGTACAGAGATCTCTCCATTACACTACTCAGCTGCCTATACATAGGCTTCTAGAGTTACCACAGCCAAAATATCATAGTTAAGTCAATCTCTAATGATAAGCCCATTTTAATAACAATAGTAATAATAACTAGCATTTCTATAGCACTTAAAGCAAAGCACTTTATATGACTCATTTGTTAGGCTGATTACATAGTCCAGAGGTGTCAAACATATGGTGTTCTGCATTACTCTCAAGTGCCGCCTGAACTATGTAAATATGTAGTTAGGGAACACTTAACAAAATAAAAAAATATACACTAGAACCCAGATAATGTTAGTATGTTCTTTTCAAAGTTAATAAGCAGCCCACAGGAACCCTTATATGTGGTTTAGTGGCCCTGTTTCTATTTGAGTTTGACACCATTAATGTAGTCCATCACTGGAGCCATACTTAGTAAGACCTGTCAAAGTCTTCATGCTGTTGGTATAGTGAGATGCCTTGATCTCCTCATGAGATGAGGTTTTGGAGGAGAATTTTAGTGGAAATCCTTGAGAAGAAAGGCTATCCTCTCTGATTGAAAAATAATCAGTGAAATACCTAAGAGAAGGGAGCTAAGGAAAACACCAGGACATACTCATTTCAATGGGGATATGGTACCTGACTTACCTTGCTTATAGTTACCAAAGGAAAAGGTACCCTAACCCAAAAAACTGTGACAATTTTGCAAGGTTAGGGATGACTCTGCTTTCTCACAAAGCAGTAAGGAGATGCCTCTGACATAAAAAGAGGATTTAGAAAGACAAAAATCTGGGAGGACACTTCACCTGAGGGTGGGGGTGGGGTAATGATAGGAACAAAGGCAGAAAAGCAAAAGGTTTGTTGTTACTGTTGTTAATTGTTTGTTTATATTTCTCAAATGAACAGACTTCTAAAGAAGACAGGCTCAAGAGAGGGAGTTAGCGGAATAGCAGGACATAAAGTTAGAAAAGGTAGATTGTAGTCAGATTATCAAAGGCCACAGATGCCAAGACAAGAAACCCGGATTTAATTTTATGAACATCAGGAAGCCACAGAGAATTTTTGTTTTGTTTTGTTTTTCACAAGGCAATGGTCTGAGTAAAGCCTATTTTAGAGATTAATCTAGGAGTGATATTTAAGGCAGATTAATACAATGTACACTAGTGATGCTTTGCCAAAATGCAAATTGTCATATTAATAGACATTCTCTGCCTAGCCTTAACAAATATAGAACATTCATTATCACAGAAAATCTCCAATAGAAAAGCTGTTTCCATTAATACGCATTAAAAGGAAAGTCTACAAATCAAAGCTGGCATTTTGATGGATACATATTCACTTTCCTGAGTTGACTGTCCCATATATCTTTTTCCCTGGGACACTGGAATTTTTCACTGCTCGCTGTCCCTCTCATAAGCTCTTATGGTTTTCCAATGAGGCATTTATATGAGAGGAGGGGGCTGCATTTAAAAGGGAGGGTTTTGAATAATGTGGCATATCATTTAACCATACACTAATTCTTTCGGAAAAGATGAAGCTGAACCACGACAGGACGGAAATGACATTACCACTTCATAAGCCTTCTCATAACCGTCTGGATTGGCAGAAGGAAGAAGATGAATCCGGGTGTCTTCAATGAGTCGGATGATCCGTGTGTTTCCAGCCCTGTACTCTTGGCACAGAAACTGCATCAACAACAGCACGAGTTCTCGTCCAAGCACCTCGTTCCCATGTGCCCCTGCTATATAGCGGAATTCTGGTTCACCTTTACTCAAAGGAAATGAAAATACAAATGTCAATATGGGCTGCGTATACTGAAAGTCATATCGCTCATAGAATAAAAATATTATAAAATAAATACTAAAAAATATAAACTTGTGCATCATTCCCTATCAAACATACTTAATGAAATTGTGGGATAAAAAAACAGTAATAATAATGAGGATAATAATAGCTGATAATTCTACAGCACGTGAAGTACTTTCCATACATGATGCCATTTTATTATTGCAATAATCTTTTATTACTCCTGATATTATAGCTGGCATTCATATATTGCTTTAAAGTATAGATATTTTTCCCCCTACATTATTAGCTGTGGTGAAGGTCATATCCAGGTCTCCAACCCAGGTCTCAAATCCAGGTCTCCTAAATCTGTAAAATGAGGGAACTGGACCAGATGACCAAAGTCATCCAGGATCTTTTAGGTCTATGTTCCTACATGACATTATTCAAATCAGTGTCTCAACTCTCTGTGTCTCAGTTTCTCCATAGGGAAAGTGAGCATGATATTCATGTTTTTATTCATCTCACAGAGTCTTTATAAACTCCAAAGCGTATTACAAATGTGCTATGATTTTGTATCATCATTTTCATTCTTGCCATTATACTTCACCCTAATAATAGAAGAAAATGGAATTAAATATAGTTCATCTTTAGAAATTAGAAAAAATTCTGATATAAATGCCACCCTAAAATTATCCTGATAATATGTATAGAAATACCCTAAGACCCTGTGAATGTATATCTGTTTACCAAATCAACATTGGATCAATCACCTCTGTAAAAAAAAGATTCATGACAAGAATAAACACATTTTATAGACCTATTCATGGTCTACAATTATTTTTACAAGTGTTCTACAACTGTTCAAAGTCACAGATTTGTTCTTTCATCTAATGTGGTATGTATGAAAGCTACATATATTTCATAAAGCCATATAATTCTAACCAACTTCGTGCTCTCCTGGGTTGTCAGAGATTTCCACAGCATACAACTTCAGACCTTGGTGGCTTTTGCCAATATTGTAAATCCTTGTGATGTTTGGGCACATTTCATTCACAATCTTCATCAACTAGAAAAGAAAAAAAAAAAATTCTACACCCCTGTCATTCAAGAAGGAATTTTCAAAGTATAGCCTTTGCGTTGGCAATGAGAAGCATGGAGACTCATTTGGTTTACACAGTATCTCTGAATTGGACAGCTGATTCCAATTAGAAGACAAATTCCCTGTACAACATAGTCCCAAAGTGAGGATCTAGCATCTGTCTGAAGACCTTTAGTAAAGGGAAAGCCACTACCTCCTGAGGTAGCCCATCCCACTGCTACATAGCTGCAATTGTTAGGAAGTCTTTTCTTATATCAAGCCTAAACCTGCCTTTTTGAAATGTCCCATTATTTCTAATTCTGCATCTTGGGACAAGCAGAAGAAATCTGATAGCTCTTCCACATAGTGCACCATTATATAATGGATGACATTAGTCATGTTCCCCAGAAATCTCGTCTTATCCAAACTAAACATAGGACCACAGAATGAGAACTGGAAGGAACCTTGGAGACCAGCTAATATTGATTTCTCATTTAATTGATAAGAAAGATTAAGTGACTTGTCTAAGTATAATTTCTTCCCCCAGTTCCCATATGTCATTAACTAGAAGGCCTCCACCATCCTGGTTGCCTTCTTCTGGATGCTTTTCACCTAATCAATATCTTTGCTATAATGAATACATAATACACCAAATGTTGTCTAACTTGGATTGGGTATAGAGAGCTTCCCACTTCCATATTCCTGGATGCCACGGCTCTCTTAGTGTAGCCTGAAATTATAATAGCTCTCATGTTCTCCAAAGCTGGTGTGTGTGTGTGTGTGTGCATGCACATGCATATATACATACATATACATATATACACATATACACATATATACACACATATACATATCTACACACAAACACAAAGACACTCACTGATAGTCACATTATAGAGAATGTAGTCTGTTTTCTCAGGAAAGTAATGTCACTTCGGCAAATGCAGCTGAAGTTGCTCTAGTGAAGAAGGAATAACAATCCTTCTCATTAGGGGTTTCTTGTTATTTATCACAAAACAAACGTAAGATACTAGGAGCAAAATCTAAGAATTATAGAGAGTCAGAGCTTGAAGGAGTCTTTCAATTCACCCCTTTTTATGTTATTAACATAAAATATTACTTTATTTTACTTACGGTTTCCCTATCTCGCCCAGCCTGGATGTTCAGGGACTAATTACAGGTGTAATTCCACTACAGATGGACGTGGGAGCTTTGACCTACTCATTTTCTGACCTGGGCTAGTTCATCTCTCCTTAGAAAACCTGGTGGCTGGCTCACGACTCCAGGGGCTCACCCTATTGATGCCAGACTTGGGGCAGACACTTGATCAATCAGATTAGCCCACTGTAGCTCTGAATTCCAGAGCTAAAGAGATCCACCAACCTCAGTCTCCGCATAGCCTGAATGACAGATGACTATGCATGGTCAATGCACTCATTTCAAGGAAAAGGAAACCTAGGCCCAAAATGAGTGATGATATAGGAAATTTATGGCAGAACTGCCATTGGAATCCAAGTGTTAAATGGAAGCTAAAATTGGGCAAAAATGTTTTGTTGACAAAGTAACTGATATTACAAAGATGGCGGAGGGGGGAGGGAATTATTTGAGATTCACTGTATTACAATATATTCTTTTCCTGAAAAAAAAATGCTTTACCTAAGATAAAGCTTCTTCTATTTTATACTTGTTTTTAGAAATACATTCAATCTGTTTATTATATATGAATCAAAATCTTCAGAGTGGAAAGATTTTAAAAAGATGCTCTGGGGTCAAACATCTGTCCAAGAAAAGCAAATGAGGATTGAAAAAAAAATATTCATTAAATATTTAAAAAATCCTCTTCCCCTCCAGATTCCCTCTCTCTGATTCTTAAAGGCCTTTGTATTACTTGATCTGCTTTTTTTCCAAGTTGACTTACAATTCAATAGTATTACTAGTACAGTCTCACATGAATATGAAAAGCTTTAAAGGTTAATATGCTAACTTTAAGAGCTTGCTGAAGCCTGTAGATAATTAATTTTGAAAGCAGTGAGAAGAAAAAAAAAGTTCCCTTTTACTTCATTATTTTAGCTCTGGGGTAAAGGTTTCCAGGATGAGAATAAGATAATGCTTTGGGGTTGAACCAGCATGGTGAGTTACCAAGAAAGAACACGATGCAGAAGAAAGAGAATAGATTTGTAGCTTCAGGAATCTTGCCTCTGAAATTTGCCATATGTGACCTGGGTCAAGTTTCCACCAGAAGTAAGAGCAGTGTAGGCACAAAGGTCAACTTGCCCCTCTACTTGAAAAGACAGTCAGTTCTTAACTGTCAAAAACTCTTCAATTATAAGAAGAAATAAATGTTTCTTGAAAGAAATTCTCCAAAGAGGAAAAAAAAAGATTAAAATAGAATCAGAGGAAGTTAGAGTCTTCCAGTTATAGAACAGTCAACTTGACTTTGATTCCTCACAAAAATTTGAAATATATTATTGAGGGAACTGTTTATAAGAAAGCTAAGTGAGGATTGATCACTAAAAGTCAGAATAGCTTTATTAAGTACAGGCGATGCTTGTTTAATTTTATTTCCTTTCTGACAGGATAACTTGATTGATATTCCAAGGGATTGTTTTTGGCATCTTATAACTTGATTGTAGCACAGCAGTTTGACAAAGTCTCTGACAATCTCCTTGAAAATAAGTGGGAGAGACATGTGCCAGATGAAAATATAGTTGGATGAATTAGGAACTGGTTAAATAACTCAATCCAAAGGTGGTCAATGTCAATGTGAGGTCGGTGAGTCAACAAGCATTTATTGAATGCCTACCATGTACCAGGTACTGTACAAAGCCCTGGGGATACAAAGAAAGATAAAAAACAGCTTCTGCTCTCAAGAAGCTCATGGTCTAATGGGAGAGACAATATGCAAGCAACTATTTACAAAAACGTTATATACATGTCAAATCGAGGGTGGTCTCAGGGGGAAGGCACTAAGATTAAGGGGGACTGAGAAAGACTTTTTGCAAAAGGTAGGACTTTAGCTGAGGTCTAGAGTGAATTACTCCAAGTACTTGGCTGTACGTAGCTTGGCATTTTACTGATAACTTGGATGAAGGAATAGAGGGCATATTTATAAAAATCTGTCACTGATACAAAGCTAGGACAGAGAGCAAACATGTTAGATGGCAAAATGGGGATCCAAAAATGTCTCACCAGGACCAGTGGGCAAAATCTTCTGAATTTGATTTTAATGGGAATAAATGTAAAATTCCATGATTGGATTGAAAAAAGGAACTGCAAAAGAATAGGACAGAAAAACAATAGCTCCTGTGGGGGGTTAGTGGTGGGGAATCTGAGGGTTTTAGTGTACTACCAGTTCAAAATGAGCCAGTAGTGTGACCCAGCAACCAAGAAAAGCTAATGCGATCTTGGAATGTGTTAAGAGAAGTACAGGATCCAAAGCAAGAGAAGTAATAGTACCACTGAACTTCTCTGGACAGATCATATCTGTAGTATAGTATGAAAGGCAGAAAAGCTCTAGGATAATCAGAAGGAGTAGATCAAAATGGCTTCTTTTGAAGATATAGCTACCCTCACCTACTGGCAGTTCCTTGAACACAAGGCTCCATCCCTTATTTTTATGCTTCTTCACTAGCACCCAAACCCGGGATGCTCTATCCTTTCACCATCATCTTTGACTTTCCTTGGCTCATTTGACTTCCTTCAAAACTCAGTTCAAAGCAACCATTCTGAAGGAAGTTTCTCCTGCTGTCTCGCCCTCACCTCTAATAGCTGCCAATATCTCTGCCTTTCAGATTACTTTCCATCTATTATGTGTGTGCATTAAAAAAAATACATATCTATTTCTATGTTGTCTTTCCCATTTAACTCTATGTTCCTTGTATTGCTAGTACTTAGCACTGTGCCTAAACTTGAGGGTTGATTGACTTGTGAAGGGACTAGAGACCATGCCATCTGCTGACTGGCTGCAGGAGTTGAGAATCTTTAATTCTGAGAAGATATTTGGAGACTTGTCAAGCAGAATATTAATTGGACTTGTCCTGCACAATTAGAAGCAATAGGCAGAAACCACCATGGGACAGATTTGGGCTGATATAAAGGGAAAAAAATCTAACAATTAGAGCATTCAAACTTGCTATCTAGTTGGCATGGAAGGAAGGAAGTTGCTATTCATAGGAGATTTTATATTAAAAACTGGATGACCATTTGCTCAAGATGTTTCTAAAGGGATTGTTGTCCTGGGACAAGTTGTTCTAGATGACATCTGAAGACCTTTCCAACTTTGAGATTCTGGCATCGAGTAAGGTTTCATAACCTCTCTGGGCTCTGTAAAATTAACTTGGACTAAATGACCTCTTAAGATTTAGAAGTAGAAAAGATCTATGATTTGAATATGGATCATCCCTGCCTTCTTTTTCTCCTTTTTGATACATCACATCATTACTTCATTCATTCCAAGTTGTTTTAGTTAATAGTTATTAGGGCAATAACACAAAATGGTGCATTCACATAAATCTGTATGCTTCTTTTTACAGTTAATGACCTGGTAACATTTTTATGGTTTTCCAATGAAATCTCAAGTACTTTGAGAGATGTCAACTAAATATCAGTTAGAAGAACTAGGTCCTTTGAGATAGCTGAAATGAGAGTGGAATGAGTCTGAATATTTCTTCTTGTTATCATAAAATTTATTAAGATAAAAAGGGAGGGGTTCGAAGTTTCTTGAGAAACTTTATTAAGAGGTTGATCTGCTATTCGAATCATTCCTCCAAAAAAACTCCTCAAAATTCTAAGGCAACAACACTGTTGCTATTTATAAGTGAATTAATGCTTGTTAGGGCAGTTATTAAACATTTAAGGGTCACTGCAGGCACTGTGTTAAGCAGTGGGCATACAAAAAATGGAGATGTTGATAGAGAGAGATGGATATCTGCATATCTGCATATATGGATGTATATGTACTTGTTCAGTCATTCATTTGTGCCCCACCC